GCTGACATATATATATATATATATATATATATATATATATATATATATATATATATATATATATTTACACACACACGTGATGCACCAGGAATCTAGATTTGTCAGACCAGGCCATTGACTGTTAAAAAGATGGACGACGCAAATTCACTCTCTTCCATTGAAGAAAAGTGAAGCCGCCAATGTCCCAATAGGGCGCGGACATATTGCGCTGATTTGGGACCAGAAGACTCCCGCACACTCCCGCAGATTCATTCGCAAACACACGCCCCTGACCCTTTTTTAATTATCCTGACTGCTCCATTTTTTGTCTGCCGATTGCCGTTAAAGAGACTGAAAAAATTAGTTGGTGCCTCAGTTCGCTCGGAGAAGCTGTCAATCATGACATCACACTCCCGTATTTAGAGCATCACATTACTAACTAAAACCAAACTTATTTAAAAAATGAACACTTGAACTTACATCAGCATGATAAAAGCTACATAAAATGACAAAAACCATCTTTGGGAAATAAATGTTTTGAAGTGAAATTTTATTATTTAGTTTGTCTCACGTCCCATTAGATTACATGGAGAGGGCGGGGTTTATAACCTATACTGGGACCAGTCACCTGGGGGGCTATCAAAACGTTTTGGCTTCACTTTTCAAGACTTGTGCGGCACACTTGGACCAGGCCATTTTCTTCCAATCACCCACGGCCAAATCTCAATGATCTTGGGCCCATTTCATGCGTTGTTGGCAATGGCGTGCAGTTAGCATGGGGACCCAGCTGGGTGGTCGACTACGCAGGCCCATACGCAGAAGGCTGCGATGAACTTTGTGCTGTGACTATTGCCCTGGTCACCACTGTTGTGGCTGCTGGTGATTTGTCACACTGTGAACAATGCATACGCACTACACACTATAATACGTACGCACTACAGCGGCATGTGAACAACCCACAAGGTGTGCCGTTTCTGAGATTGAAGTTCCGAGGTGCCGTGCCATCACAATTTGTCCAATAAATCGGCAGCTTTTCCCATTCTGACACTGAACACTCTACTGACTGAAATCCGGTCCTCGGGTGGTATATATACTGCTCTGTGAACTGCACCTGCAGCACCATTTGGTTGCCAGGTGCAATCATTGCTCTAGGCTGGGGGTGATCATAATGTAATGACTCATGTACACAATTATAACCCCTGACCTATACATACTGTGTATAAATATATATATATATATACACACACACTAATGAGCCATTACAATATGACCAATAACCTGTAGGACCTCCTTTAGCCCAGCAGGCTCACGGCGAGGCATTGATTTGATGAGGTGGCAATAGGGTCTCATGGGGTGTCCGGTACCAGCAGGTCCTCCAATTACCATAATGTAAAGACTCATCAGTGTATATATATATACAGTAAGTATATATATATATATATATATATATACCTGTATATATATCACCCTACGTGAGTATACTGTATGTATGCAAAAAGTTGGACATGCTTATATATTCAGCTATAAACAGTTGGTTGATAATATAGTTTCATTTTGTCACCTAATAAAATTCACAGAGTTGAGATTTGCTATGTAATATATGTCGCTTGTATGTACTGTATGTTTGGCCTATACACAGGTGTGCAATAATACAGTTTAAATAATGTGTTGAGAAGGAAATTTGACACTAAGCTAAGATTAGTACTGATGAATGTAAGTTTAATTGTTTCCATGCAATGTTTTTGTTAAATGTCTATAACTATTAAAAAAGCAGAATATTCAAAAAATTTCTAGACGAAGGGACACCGAATGCAAAAACCTTCAAAATCATTTTTTAGGCACTGGTGCACAAAATATATCACACATTTGTTACACGTGTGAAAAAAGCTCTTTGCTATAGTCATGTTCCCACTCGTCAACCCGATGAGGAAGGCAGTGTTCTTTAATGTTCAGTAGAATACAGGCTATCTTGACATGACCAGCTTGTTTCAAAAATGCCCTGCAAAACCCCTTTTTGTAGCTTCTTTCAGGAGGCAATGATGACGTTGACCAAATAAATTCTTGATCTTCAAAATTAACTGAATATTATGGTCAAATTAATAAAAGATAAGTTAGATGATGTAATATTTAGAGAGAAAGGAAACTGTATGGTTTCAGATGTGACATGGAAGGATCTGTAGTGCTCTCATATCCTCAGAGAGAGTCAGAGAGCAGCACTAGAGCTGAGGATGCCACTCAAGATGGTAAAGGACAAGAAAAGGGTGAACAATAAGTCATAGAAGGTGCATGCCGCAACACCTGATCCAGCAGAGAAGGTGCTGAATAAGACAGGAAAGAGGTTATGGAAGCATGATGATTCCCAGAACACAACAAGCTTGGTTGCAGCAGAATTAGCCTATAAAATGTACAGGTGAGAAATGAGTTTTTCAATACTGATATATT